AGGATCCTGAGCTACAGGTCCTSGTTGGAGGCAGTACCAATGCAGCCAAGGGCATTTAAACCCTCAAAAGGCTTTTCCCAGCCCTGCTACTTGGCTAATTTAGACATTGCTCTGTTCAGCATGTGCAGCCTAACAGGGAAATGTGCCTGATTCCTCAAGGCATTACTCTGGGCTCCAGCTACCCAGTGCAGAAGGTATCCAGTCATCTGAGGTCAAGTAGCACAGCACCTAATTTCAAARAAGCAATTGAGAACTATTCCTATGRGAACTATCTTGGAATSTAAGGATTAGAGTTTCCAACAGTTTTGTGGATTTGACATGTAGTTCCCTGCATCAGAGAATGAGAACTGCAAGAACTTCGTGGTCTGGTCACTGCATTCAAGGTTGATTAACACAGACAAGATAACATAAGTATAATTTGAGAGAACTTCTATAGTGAAGACATTCCTTTTGGGATATTAGCCAGTTTTTTTCATTCTTATAATTATTTAATATGTAGGATTTTCCTATCAAGTAATTGTAAGACCAACTCGCTTAGAAAAAAAAACTTTCAGGTTGTAATACTGCAAATATTTTGTCTAAATAGAGTAGTACTTGCTCACTGGGCACTAGGCAAAACACTTAGGACTATATATTCCTCACATGACTCCAAATAAGAGATGCACATTTCTCTGTGTTAACTTTTTCCACAGATTCAAAAAGATATTTCTACACATTTTATGCATTAAATGTTTTTCTCTTTGTTTTGCTTTTGCTGGCTTAACAATTGATCTGGTTTTGCTTAGAAGCACTGTCTCTTTAAATAGGAATAGCTCATTCTTAGTGGCAATAGTTGATAAACTATAACATGCCAGAAATATTGTGCTTCTGGAAGGCATAATTCTAATGTCTCTCCAGATGTATCTAGGAATTAAATAGCAGTTTTGCAATGCCAGTTTTTAATAAGCAATCTGARCAGTCTATAATTTAGGAAATGTTATAATTTAGTATGGAAAAAAGAGAGGCATTWTATCCCTATGAGCCATGAAGCAGAAGTTGCCTAGATTTTCAGAAGGCGCACATTCCCACCTAGGAACTTGTTTGGTACATTACATATTCYATTACAGCAGTAACTCCATAGAGTTATTTGTCCTTGTTTTGGTTTGAGACTATGTTTTTAGAGAAAAACGTTGTAGAGTAAATGTTTTTTTTTCTGAAGTGAAAAATTAGATAGTTTTCTTTTCTACTAATATGAAATAGATGTTTGGGTAAAAGTGAAGAGAAAAATAGTTTATTAACAAAACAAGGTGCCCGCAGGACACAGATAAAAAATGAGTAATTGTTGGATAATCAAAACTCTCAGAATGCACGCTGCCCCTCCCTCCACAGCCGCTTTGTACATGGCGTGGATAAGACGGTGTGATTTTTATTTTAGGGAAAAAAAAAGAAACAAAAGTCTACATAGCTGCTTGGGTAACAGTGGGAATTTGGTGGTAGTTTTCTCTTTACTGTGGATGAAACAGASGGTTCTGTTTTCTTTTTTCTCGTTGGCTTGCCTTCTCTGGAGTTCGGGACCAGACGGAGCGGCGCTCATGGCTTGTCCCCGCCTGCCCCCCTGGTTGATCAGCGCTTGCTTCTCAGTTCTCAGATCGAAGATTTGCTGAATTGCTCCAGAAGAAAACACAGGAGTTGCAGAAGGGGCGGCAGTCTAAGGAGAGCTGTTTGTCTAAGCTAAAAAATTGGAGCTAGCTAAGCAGCAACAGTGTAACTGCCCTGCGGGCAGCAAGGTGATTCTCGAAATGTCCAGCTGAGCTACTCAACAGCCCGGTGCACGGCAGCCCCGGCTTTTAAGCACTTGTGCTGCTTTCTTAGCTGCTTCTGTTCTTTTTCCTGGGTCAACTTTAAAGGCACAAGCACATTTTGGGCATACAAGCAGATGGAATATAGGAATAAAGTGTTATCATAAAATCAACCCAAGACATTGCTGCATATGAGTTTATGTGGTGACAGCACTGGTGTAGAACAGGTATCAAATTCAGTTATGTTGATGAAGACGATAATTTCCAGAAATGCACCTTCCTATCTTTTCTGAAAGACAGATTTATGTGAATCCCTCATCATAAAAGCTCCCCCCTGTCCTCTTCTCCTCAGTAGTAAGGCACTCTGCTGCTGGCCTCTATCACTAGAATCAAGACCCACCTTTGCTAAATTGGCATGGAGTAATAGTGAATTCTGCTAGTATAACTGGGATGTGACTCCTTAGAGGCAGAAAGCTGCTTCTCCTGGAATTACCTCCTCTGGCTGCCACACTAGGAGTGGAGGGAACCACTAAAGTTGTAGATCTTTATTAGATCTTTATATCCACCCTGTCACCTAGAGGGTGAAAACAACAGTTCTTTAATTTGCCTGTGCAGAAATTCATAGGGTTGATAATTGAGGGTGTAGTAGCAAAAATTCAAAGACAGCAGGAACACTATGATAAAAAAGTACTTGGGAAAGATACATTTCAAATTGAAATCATTGCCTTCTGCATGTGCGTGTATATTTGAATTCAGGTTCACTAAATACTTTGAAATTAATTTAAAGAAAATGTCAATCATTATAGAGCTGATTCAGGTGGGGCCATCCTAAAGGGGTCTGTGTTTGCTGGAATTGCTGTTTTTTGTATACCCACCCAATCACACAGACTCTTCTGGAAAAAGCTTCTTCCCTCCCATTACTTCACTCTTGCTCCTGCAATAATAATTCCTCTCCGGGTGTTCAACAACAGAACTAACACCAATTCCAAAGGAATTCCATGATAATATGGGCAGACTTAGCAGCACAGTCACCACAAACTTCTTGCTSAGTGTCATGCAGCTGCATAAAACATTTGGGTAATGCTGCTTCAAATCAGGATGGTCATGTTTGAGTTTTTGGTTTTCCTGCTTTATTTCCAAAATGACAGTCATGCAYCTGTTTTCACTCCACTGTTGCACTCACAGTCTTTGTCACTGAACTAAAAACACTAAATTACAATTCAGTTGCTCTTTAGTGAGAATAATTGCCAGTATCTTGCCAAACAGCCTGTGTCCACTATAAGTGAAACCTGCCAAAATTAGAAAGTAATTTGTAAGAGAATCTTGTAAGAATCTTGTAAGAGAATCTGAGAATAGTATATGCTATAAATAAACACCTTGATGTGGCTAGTAGCATTTAGATGATTATAAAATGTCTCCCATGTAATTTGGGAGSACATTTTTGTCTAATTAAGAAAATAAATTTTTGATTGAGTGCTGGTGGTGTTGCCACCCTACTATAATATAATACTGACATTTGCATTACTTTTATATACAACTACTGTAATCTTAGGAAAAGTTTTTCAATTAAGGTAAAAATATATTTTTAACTTCAGAAATGCCAGCAAAGCATAGTGCTAAAAAAAAGAGCAAACCCAGAGAGATAGTTTAAAAAAAAATCCACCCCATATAAAATGAATCCATTTCAAAAGAAACTGTTGGGAAAGTGGTTTTTTAAAAAAAGTAAGCAAGTTATTCTTTTCCTAGTTTCACATAATTAATTAATACCTAGACTTTTGTTTGTTTTTGTTAGTTTGCTTATAATTTTTTCCTATTTTAGAAAATTCTGTCAAATTCAGCACAGCAAAGGTATCACACCAAAAAGCAAAAACAAATGGAAAACACCCTGTTTTCTTTCAGACTTAAACAGTGCAAATATGAGAGACCTTGGGATCCAAGTCCAAGTACATACACTCACGTGTACATGTACACTTGGTATCAGTTACTCTCATTCTTTGAGCTGGAGTGAGCTGAATAAACAGCTCACTTTATGAGTTTATGATCTCTTTTGTCTGAAACTAAAAGCCCTTATCATAAGATGGTTAATAAATGGGTAAGTTTGGTTTAAATATTTATTAACTAATGTTTTCCCTGCAATGTTAATACTTCCTTTTATAATCTGTGAGCTAGTGAGCTGTGGAAAGTATTTAAGTATTTTTCTTTTCCCTCTCAAATCCTGCTCAGGTTTCTAACAGCTACCAGGTGAAGCAGATTTCACCTCTCCTATCAGTACACCTGCTTAAAAAGTGACATTCACACATTCACAGCCTGCATTGAGGCAGAGCACAGGGAGTGTGATTAGAAGGTTCTTTGTAGAGGCATTGACTGTAAATCTGATCACCTGCAGGTGGTAATCGATGTGGAGGCATTTTATTCCAAAGCTTTCTCTGCAGAATGGATGCTGAACCCAAATGGATCACAGGGTACTGGAGTGCTAAGAAATGACAGCAATCTGCCCCACATGATGTATCCCAGACCCTGTTCCTCTCACTTCTGTGACAGCTGTAGAAGGTGCAGAGGTCTTATTTAGGTTCATAAATAGATTTTCTTAACCTATCTGTAATAGAGTATGCCAGTGCAGTGAACTAACTGGTATTGTTTTATAAGAAGTGTTTTGAAAAAAATGATATTTCGCTGAAAACCAAGATGGAAATGCTCAACTCCAGAAACTCATCTCTTCTTCAGTAAGGAKACAGAGTAATTTCTAAACCTCTGTCATTTAGCTGCAGAATATTTTTACCACCTCTCAGTGTGACATGCACAGAATAACAACCAGCATCCAGAACAACACAGGTGAGGACAAAAAGGTTGCACAGAGATTAAGTACCATTTTCAGTGTTGCCTCTTTGAGTGCATGAACCTTACTTATGTAAGCGGTCATTCTTGGAAGCCTGACAGTACTCCTGGGGAGCTGCTGAGCTTCGTCTTCAAGGCATTCAAGTTTAGCTCAAGGAAGAAAAGTTTCTCATGATGAAGTGTCTAAGTGGGATTTTAGGATTACAGCTGCCGTTCCCAGTGATTATTATGGATGCTAAACCCTCACTTTTCTTAACAGGTACAATCCACAGCTTCTGATATCAATGCAACTTGCAGATAATTCTTTTCAGCTCCTTTACAAGGATCCTCTTTTGCTGGCCTATGCCACCTCTCTACCCTGTTCTACAGCAAACCAGATGGGGGAGCCTTTGGGAGAAGCTCTTTTCTGGTCTCACAACCCTCTTCAGTGGCTTCTGGGCATTGTCCCGAAAGGCCACTTCTTTTTCCCCTCCCTGGGGCGGCTGCCMGAGTTCAGAAACACTGTTCGGGCTGCGAAGAGGAGGAGCATAAAGCTACAGTGTGCTTCCAAGGTAAGCAACTCTGCCGARCCCTGGCTGGGAGGAAACGCTTGAGCTACAAGGGAGAAAGGAGCTGAGCAGCAGCAAGGGCACAAACYATGAGCTTTCTTCACTTCAAGGAATGCTATTATGGAATGTCCATGAATGCTTGGGATAGCAAGCAGTCAGCTGCCTTTCATGTTTGGCAGTCAGTTGCCTGCCTTCTAAATCGTAGACAAATGTATTTCCCCACGGGGTTTTTGGTGTTTTGTKTAGGTTTTTTTYCCCCCAAGTTTGGAAGTTCCTCGGAAATGGCAGGAAATCCCTACAGTCTGCTCTTTGTCATGTTAATATTTTCCACCTTATTAGGTACGAATTTATTTATATAACAACTGAAAGTAAAACAGAATGGAGGAGGGGGTGGAGCAATTGCTGCTGTCACTTGTGCAARCCTTATCCTAACTTCTGTGTCAACTTGCTGCTCAACGTTCCGAGACTTGTGAGTATTTCACAACTTTTGACATCCTCTTGTTTTCTTCTTTTCTTCACTGTATTAAAAAATGAGGGAACTCATAGAGTTCCGCTTCAAATTAATTAATGCTTTTAAAAACCATCTCATAAGATTTCCTGTAAAAGACATAGTTCAAGTATTGTATTTAACCTTGCACTTGGCACCTGTTTCTCTGTTTCTGCTGTGTGAGAGATATCAGCAAATAGAGAAAACTGGTTCTAGCCTGTGAAAATTTCTCATTGTTCACTAAAAAATTTACACAGCAAGAATGAACTACTTGGACTTGCATCCCAAGGTCTCTCATATTTGCACTGTTTAAATCTGATAGAAAACAGGGTGTTTTCCATTTGTTTTTGCTTTTTGGTGTGATACCTTTGCTGTGCTAAATTTGACAGAATTTTCTAAACTAGGAAAAATTTATAAGCAAACTGACAAYAAAAAGTACATAAAGCTCTACGTATTAATTAATTATATGAGAATAGGGAAAGAGTAATAACAACATYACAGCCAAAATGAGCTAGTTAATGTAGCAAGGACAGAGAAAAAAAACTGTGAGAAAAGTTATTTATATCTTAGTGTGTACAATTGAAAGAGTATTAAATGCGGGCAGAGAAAATCTGCAGTCAGTAGAATTCTGCTGTAAACAGGGAGAGTTTMTGTAGGTTATAGTAGTGTAATAGGGAGGTTTTAATCAGAAGTAAACAAGAGTAAACAAATGAACTGATAAGTCTTGTTAAAAATAACTCTTTCTGCCTAATYATTGAGTCATGGATTTATTTAGATTGAAAAAGAGGGAAGAGATGTGTGGGACAGAAACTTGTCAAGGATTGCGTTGCCATAACYTGCAAGATTATATCTGTTTAAGTTGGTAACAGGAACTTGTCCTTTCTGTGCACAGCCACTTGTGATTCCCTCTCTATACAGACAGTATTTTTGGCAGCTTACTTTTAAGAGACTCTGATGCTGGAGAACAAATTCCCGATGATAATTATCACAGCATGTKTGGCTGTTCTTTCCAAGTGCTAAATAGTGCAGTGCTTCCTTAGTCTCTCAAGATTGCATTTATTCCTCTTTACAGTTATCAATTTATTTGACATGAACCAGGTAAACGGAAAGGAATCAGTTGTTGTTGTGTCTTGGAAGGAGATAATTAATGATTAACACAGTGTAAACAAACAATGCTTATAGCTCAATAGAGGTGGTAAATTTGGGAGTCTGCTGGGCTGTTGTAAGCATAGTGGGACTGTATAGCTGTGCCCTGCTCCACACCCGCGCCGGAGAGCAGCAGTGGGCAGCACCGGTGTAGGGACTGGAGCTCTGGGAATGGGGGTATCCAGGGAGGTGAGAGAGACAAACTGCGGGAATTGCACCCCGAAACAGGACCCACGAGACACAGGGGATTCCTGCTCCTCTTTCTGCCTGGCTGGACACAGCTGCTGAAGGGACAGGGGAATGTCGACAGGCTCCTGCCCAGTGCAGCAGCCACATCTCACTGCCCCAGTGCCCCAGGGAGCCTGGCACAGAGGTGGGAGGGTCTGCAGCTGGAATGGAACAATAACAAGGAGCATGGTCCATCTGTCTTGGAGGTGCCACTGAGGTTAATTCAGCCTATGCCCTGTGTCAAAATTGCTTCCACAAAGAAAAAAAAAAGAGGCAGGTGAGTCTCATAGAAGAATCTTTCTGAAGGGAACAGAAAGCCCCATATGCAGACCTGACACACTTCTTCACAAAATCTGCTTCTTCCTAGGGCCTGGATTAAAGATGTGAAGCATCCTCTGCTGACATAACCCTCTGATTATTATCTGTTTTTCAAGTAGGCAGTGGTTCTTCAACTACAAGAAGTTCAAGGGCAGTTAAGAGACTCCAGAGCCTTGGGATGACKGTTGAGGGATCATGAGCACAGCTGTTGCTGTCCTCTATCCATCCATGCAGGGGAGGAATGGTGTGAGCCAGCAGACCAATGCTTGACCCTGAGCCTGGTGTCACCAGAGGAATTTAGGGGTTTTGATCATTATTTGGTCTACACAGCACCAGACTTGCTGGCAGTAGATGGGGTGGTACAGCTGTCCCAAAGGASGAATAGGATCTTTGCAYRGAAGTTAGCAGGGCTTATTGAAACAATAAACTAAAAGGGGGAGAGCGGTAAAACTGGGCTCAGTGGGGCAGATGTGAAGGTGGCATTTACCACTTTTTGAGTGACTCTGTGCTAGAGGTAGGGGGTGGAGATCCACATGGCAACAAAGACACAAGGGTCAGTGATATTTTTAGATAAAAGCACCTGAAGTGAAGGGGTTAGAGCTTCTCTCCCAAAGAGGTGGGATGAGTGGCTCAACTGAAGTGCCAACACGAGTAACAAACAGCAGGTTAAGAAGAAAGAAAATCAGCAGGTCCAAAGACCAGCTGAAGCTTTATCTCGCTACTGCCCTAAAAGACTCAAGAAAGTGTTTCTGTGAATATGTCAGCAACTGGACCAGGCCTGTCAGTCTGACTGTACTGATGGGGAAGGTGGTGGAGCAGAGCATCTTGAGCATCGTCCCATGGCAAATACAGAAAAACCAGGGGATCAGGCCCAGTCAGCAAGGGCATAAGACAAATCCTGCTTGTCTTACTGATTCCCCTCCACAATATTCTTCTGGAGAGACTGGCTGGTCGTGGATTGAACTGGTGCACTCTTTGCTGTGTGGAAAACTGGCTGGTTACCCAAGCCCAGAGTGGTGGTGCATGGAGTTAAATCCCGTTGGCAGCCAGTCCAGGGCTCAGTGCTGGGGCCAGCCCTGTTTAGTGTCTTTATCAGTGGTCTGGGTGAGGATGTCAAGTGCACGCTCACTCAGTTTGCCTGAGGTGCCAACAGATGACAAGTTGGGTGGGAGTGCTGACCTCCTGGAGGGTTGGAAGGCACTGCAGGGATCTGGACAGGCTGGATCAACCAGACAAGGACAATTGTGTGAGCTTCAACAAGTTTAGGTGCTGACGTGCAATCCCATGCAAAGCTAGTCTTGGGGCACAGTGGCTGGAAGGGCTTGGTGCAAAGGGCCTGGGGATGCTGGTCAACAGCRGCTGAACATGAGCCAGCTGTGCCCAGGGGGCCAAAAMCACCMATGGCATTCTGGTCTGGACAGCARCAGTGTGGCCAGTGGGATCAGGGMRGGGAKTGTCCCCCTGTACTCAGCACTGGTGAGGGCACAMCTCTAATGCTGTGTCCAGTTCTGGGCCCCTCACTGCCAGAAAGRCATKGATGTGCTGGAGAGTGTCCAGAGAAGGGCARKGGAGCTGGGRAAGGGTCTGGAGCAGAGCTCTGATGAGGAGCAGCCGAGGGAGCTGGGAAGTCTGGAGCAAAGGAGGCTCAGGGGTGACCCTATTGCTCTCTAACACTCCCTGAAATGAGGTTGTAGCTTGGTGAAGATAGATTTTCTTTTTTTTTTCTTCCCAAGTAACAAGTTATGAGATGAAATAGCCTCAAGTTGTGCCAGAGAGGGTTTAGATTGCATACCACAAAACTTTTCTTCACTGCAAGAGTGCTCAAGCATTGGAACAGGCTGTGCAAGGAAGTGGTGGAGTTACCAACCCTGAAGGTATTTAAAGGACACACAGGTGCTCAGGMTAATGGCAGAACTCAATGATCTTAAAGGTCTTTTCCAACCTAAACAATTCTATGATACCTTGCTGTCATTATGAGTGTTTGAATTCTCTGGGATAAATAAGGTTATGATCAGATCCATTCTGAGGCTGCCTAAGTGCTCACTGAATATAGAGAAGGGTCACAGGGGACAGAGGGTACAGGCTGATGGAAGTTATTGAACAATATAGATAATACAATGCTAGATTTTTTCTTATGAGTGGAAAGTTCATTCTCACTTCAGCTTGCAGTGTCTTTCAGGCCATGGGCAGTGATACATTTGACACAAACCTTCCAGTGTCAGATTCAGGGTTCTGTCAGACCTGTGTTTCCCTTTTCTGTGCTCAGGAAGTTCTGCTTGCTGTAGCCAGCAGGGAGAAAGGCATTCTGGAACAGCTCACTGTGGGATGTCCTGTTCTATCCAAACAGTGAGGTTTGTGGTACAAAGTGGGTCACTGGCCTGCAGCCCAGCACAGTGCTGCTGCCTCCAGGGATCAGGGAAGCACAGCAGCCCAAACTCCATGTTTTGAACAAACTTGTTAATCTGCACAAAAGTACAGACGTATTCCTCTTGCTTTTTTACGTGACTCAGTCTTGTTGCTACACTCTCATCACTGCATCATCTAAACCCCAGGAGAGTGAACAYTCATGCATTCCTGTTTTTTATGAGGACTTTCTGTATACTTAAAAAACTGTAATGGAAGATAGTGACTTGAAAGGTTATTTTAACCTCAGGACTGTAGTTCACTTCCAATTCTCGTAATTATAATACATTTTCAATTCCCTACACCAAATGAAAATGTGTTAACAAAACAAGAAYATCTCAAACATGTCCATTTGCTCTCCATGCATGCTAAAATTTTTTCTAATTTTCAGAAGTATTTCAAAAGTAATTGGTTAGAAATGGAGGGAGGTAATCTCAGCTATTAGTTATTATCAGCTGCTTATTTCTCAGAGAAATGTGTATGAGGTAAAAATCTCATTCTCTATAAGCAGTTCCCAAATTTAAAGACATTATTTTAACTCAGCTCAGGTGTCTGATTCCCATTTTACAGGTTTTGATAGGACAGAAATTMATTCCAGGAATGACTGCTGGCATATTAACAAACAAGGTTATAGAGTTTGTCTCTGCAAAGGGCAAACTCTCATAGAAAGCACTGTTAATAGTTCCTCATGGGAATATATGCTCAGAACTCCTTTTTGAGCTGAAGTTTAATGGGACAGGACAGCGTTGAAGGCCCCTAGTACAGACAGATTATTTCACAGAGAAAAGGACTTCTGGCTTCGTACCGTTAATCCCAGATCAATTTACCTTTTCACTGCCTCTGTRCCAAACAGAGAAGGTTCCTGCACGCTGAAGGTTCCTCTGCTCTTGCTGCTCCAGTGCTGTTTCCAAGATGGGTCCTGTGATCCCTCAGAACCTGAAGGCAGGACCAGAAAAGAAAGACAATTCATCCAAGCTGCCTGTGCTRTATCAGTGTAAACAGAGATCCCACTTGACCAGGGCTGAGGGTCACCTTTGAGATAATATTCTGCACAACTCTCTGAGAAGTCTGATCTAGCATTTCTTCTACATCCTTTAACAGATCTGGGGCCTGTTCTTCATCTTCCATCTGGATTTATGGGTGGCTGGGGCTAGATTTTTATATCATGATGAGAACACAAAGAATTTAGGCACTGTAGCAGCTAATAAAAGCCTTCTGTCTTCCATTCATAAATTAATGTACTATTGTAGAATAAGGAAACTGATTCCTATTTGTTGATTTACTTATTGTTTCCCTTAGACATTAATAAAGAATAGCAGAAATATTTGGAAGTCAGCAGGAGATGTACAATATAATTAAGCTGTTGTCCCTGCTGATAAGCTGTTACAAACAGGTAACCTGATACATGCATCGTTACAAGCTATCATATGGTATTTCATGCTGTAACAGATCAGGAATGTCCTTAGTGGCAGCATAGRGTGATCATTCAGACATTGTTGATACTGCTGCTATAAATTACAACTCAGCAGTTTCATAGTTTGCCAAGTACTTCTAGTGTCAGTGTTTAAAAATTCTTTGCCAAAAAATGGCTGCTGGGTTATTTTTTGTTTTTTGGGTTTTTTTTTTTTGCACACCAAGGAGCAGCTTTTAAAAGCCTGTTTTGTAAAAACACATGTAGACTAAAAAAGTTGCACTCTGTAACAGCTGAAGAGTTGCTAATCTAGCTCGCTCATTACTAAAATTTATCAAATGCATTAGGATGTCTTTTTTGTAAATAAAAATAAAAAAGAAGAAAATTTACTGTCTGCAATTTATTTTTGAGTAGACAGATCATCATATTCTAAACTGCTAGTCAGAAATGATTGCCACAGCACTATCCCTGGCTGCGGTCTCTGCCAGAAGGCTGTGAATATCAAGTGTTTTGATAATTTTCTTCCCCRGAGCTTAAACTATAAATAAGGTCAGTGTGGAAAAGTTTATTGACTCTGCTGAAGAAGGGATTTGATCTCATCCACAATGTTGGGTCACTGTCTGTGTTTGTGCACATACAAATTGGACAATGTGTGGTTGAGCTAAAGATCTTGTGAACAGCTCATACAGTGGAAGACTCATTTTTTGGTAAAGAAATAACAACTTCTCATATCTTAAATATAATTTTAACTGTTAATATGTTTTAGCATGTTATTAACACTGGTTCTTGTTGGTTGGTAAGCAGCATGATAGAAAGTTGGGYGTGAACTCTGTGGTCTCTTTCAATGCTGCATTGGCTAATTAAGGTTCTTCTACCAGTGGGGCCTGCATATATTCTGGCAAGTGACAAAGCTGCTGTCTTCCTGTAAGGGGAAGTGGSACCCTTACCTGCCCTTCCAGAGCAAGGAGAGGCTTTGCAGGGAYTCTATGGAAATTTATGTGCCTGACTTCAGAAAGCTGCAGCTGGTTACTGCCATCAACCTACTTGTAAGAGGAAAAGCTATCGACATGAGCACACTTGCTCAAAAGTAACCAATTATACCTGTTTTTATAAGCCATACAGTCAAGTACCCTCAGGCTGAATGTCGTATTAACCTCAAGTAGAACACCATGAAAATAATAGACACACGAGAGAACCAAGGGTGTGTAGTGTGCTTGTAAGAACATAGGAGTGGGAGTCACARCAGCTATCAGAGGCTCATCTCTTGTAAGCCATGGCAGAAAAACAATAAGTACAGTTTGTTTCCCTGGCAGTGTGCTTTGATAATGGTGTAGTTCCTAGAGATTTTCTTTGTGCTGCTTCTTGGCAAGGTAAAGAGGTCAATTGGTGTTCCTCATTCCTGAGGTTTGATTAATGCTGCTGMTGTGATTAATTGTACTCAGGGCTGTCATGTGCAGTGGAGAGACTGGGCAGCAGAGGGGTGGGAAGGAGGGTGGCAGTGGGATCCCACCTGGGATTGCACTGTGCCTGTTCTCAGCCTGGGGATCCCTGTCCTGCAGTGGCCAGCACTGGATGCTGGTGATGGCCAAAGTCATCAGGCTGGGTTCACATATGTTACCTCACTTCTTATAGCTTTCTTTCACTCATTTAATTGAATTTTCAATCATTTTTATTGAACAGATAAGGTTTACAGCCTTAGCTACACTATATCTTACAGTAATTATACAGGCACAAGAAACATGATTTTACATTGGCTAGAATATATATATATATATATATATATATATATATATATACACACCACTTAACAATATATTATCAATTTTATGCTTGATCAGGAGTTTGTTAATTTTTCTGAAGGACAAGAAAATAGGATTTTCACTCTTCAAATGCAAAAATTTGGAAGTACCTAAATATTTTGGAGATGAATTTTTACTTTTGTTTTAAGTGTTTGTTAGCATTCTCTAGGATTGTCTGTGTTCCCTTTAGCCCCCAATGTGCTCTGTTGCAGGTATGCTCTGAGGACTCTGAACATATTATTTCTTCAAGCTGTAACATTTGCCTTGGAGAAACCTGCATCTGAACTAGCTGACTACAGAAACTAGAAATATTTTCTTGGTGAGCATGAAGCATCCCATCCTAGGGGCAGATATGCAAAGCAACTAAAAGGCAGGATTTCTTCTAAGAGGGGACTCAGAAAAATTATTGTTGTTTGTGAAAAAGTCTATGTTAAGGTCCTTGCCCAAATCACAGCGAGATGGTGAAATGAAGGCAGGGACAGGACTCAGAGCTGCATCCAGCTGCATTTGTCATTGAACCCATGTTTTCTTMCTGTGATCTTGTGTCTTTTTCTACACACCTTTTTCCAAACAAGGACGTTTATGCAGGGGTTTGGTTTGTTTGTTTTCCAGGAGCTTGGTCTACTCAGTGAAAACAATCTATTTGGTTCACAAACCCTGTAAGAAAAAAAGGAAATTATTACCTCATACTGTGATTAAATATTTGTTTATAATTATAAATTCATGGGGAGGGAGTGGCCATGGGATTGAGTTTCAAGTTCTTGAGCAGAAGATGATTTAGTGTTCATAAATCCTTCTACTTCTGCTACACTCAACCCTTCTCCTTCCTTTCACCTCCAMCATGTCTTAATTCTTTGCTGTGCTCTCCATCTGGTCACACAACTCATAATCCCACTGCTGTGCTCTAGAAGCATCATTGATTTCTGTTCCTAAGCCTTTACCATGCTTTTCCTGTACAAAGCCTATTTATATATATATATGTGTGTGTGTGTGTGTGTATATATTTATATACACACACTTACAAAAAGTTCTGCTTGACTTGGTAGCTCTGAGATGGAATATGTCAGTGAAGAGACCGATGGAGACCACCTACACAATGCCAACAAATCTCTGCTGCAATTATGTAAATAAATTAAGCCACTCAGGATTTGGCCAAGTTTATGCAGGTTTTCTAGGCTGCCAAACTTGAACAAACTACCAAAAGCACAGCTTTAATTGAATACTCATAAACATGTTATATGAAATAAATCCATATTTTCTGCTAATTTGTTTTTTGGAAATGACAGAATTACTCTTMAAGGGACTTAAAAGAAAATCACTAGCCTGTGTAAATAATTCAGTGTAGGAAATTCCATCAAGTTCATTGTGACCGAAATAAARGTAACTGAAACTGAGCCTTATTGTTTGAGACCCAGCTGACAAAGGGCTGCAAAACTGGCAATGGTGTCTTTGCATAATACAGAAACAAGACTGTGTTTTCAACCCATATCTCTGAAATTCATGTTTAATTTTCTAAGAAAATAATGCTCATGCAACAACACATCTGTGCTTGTTTGCATATGTCCATCCTCCATCACATTTCTTTTAATTCAAGGCCTAATTTTGTTGTATAGTTTACATTGGAAGAGGTACTTACAGGACCCTTCTTCAAGCCTCCCACCTAAAGCAGGGCAAACTGACATCACAGCAGGTCRCTCCAAGCTTGGCTGTTTTTTCAATATCTCTGAGGATGGAGCTCCTAAAACTCTTGTAGGCAGCCTCGTTCACAAATTTATTTTCTTGCAGATTATGTTGTGACTCCCTTATAAAAAAATACTAATATTATTACCCAAATAAATTGTTCTGTCAACATGTTGTCACCTTCTGCTGTACCTCTCTGAGGTCTTGCTGTGAGTATATAACCAGCTATTGAACAAAAATTTGCTTGTTTCTCCAAACACAACTCTTGCAAGATTTGAACATGAATCTCGGGAAAAAAATAATTATGAAATAGAGGTGAAGCATTCCAATTGTATTTTATTGTATCATCTATAGAAAGGTAATAAAAAGGGCAATGACTTGGCTCAACAGTCACCATGATTATTATAAGAAATCACAAAAATTTATCCTTTGCTGACAATATGCATTTTCCAGGGGGAGCCCCCTTTATTCTGCAGCATTCAAAGATGGGATGCTATTATCTAATTAAAAATAACCTTATCAAAAATTTATCTCATGTTCTCCATTAATTTGGAATGTGTAAAGGGGACTTGCAAGAGTTACTTGTGAAATGTCAGCAGCCTCCTGCTTTGATTGATGTTAATAGATGGGCTGAAAAYCACTCAGAAATCTATTGTGGTTTTACAGTTACTTTTTGTCCCTCACATCTAGGTCCCAAAATGTAGTCTCCTGATGCAGATGCTGTGCTTCTCTTCTGAGTAATGGTCCAGCAGGCAGGATGCTGGGGATGGCACGGCCAACACAAAATTCTGCTGGAGCACTGAGCATGCTGCAGAGTCAGGTAAGGGTCACTTAAACAACATGACATTTTAGGAAATTTCAGCAAAGCTTTTAATGCTATTTTGCAATCCAACATGAAAAGTAGGTAAAAGGGCAAATTTAAAGCTAGGAAACATCTCCAGTATTTTAGATGAAATCACTWCACTCTATAATTTTCTGCTTTGGTTTTTCCACTCTTTGTTTTTCAGTGGTTTAGAATTACGTAGTAAATAGGTCTGGGGTATTTTTTCACATTTATATTTTTCAGCTGATTTGTGCCATAGCAAGTTCTAGCCAACTTTTCTGCTTGGACCTAATCCCTGTGTCTGGCTGGAATTTCACACTATGTGAGGCAAAAGCCCCCGAACCTCAAGGGTGTTTAGTATAGGGGRGAAATAATTTCAAGTGTCCAGTCTCTGTAGTACTCTTCAGATCTCCCCAYGTATTTCCTAGAGGATTCTGTAGCAGTTGCATTTTCAGTGGGCAGCATGGCCCAGTGACCTTGTGATAACCCCAAAGCCATTTGCATCTGGTGCTATCCCAAAACAGGTTGTACAAGAGGCAGATCCACACACAGAGCTCAGATATTTGACTTATTCACACTTCTGCCCAGAAATGGAGGCTGGATGGCACCTCCACACAACCAGCAAAATGACTATCAAAACTTTTCACTATTTATAACATTTTAGCAAACATTAAAAGGCATTAATGTTCATTGGCTACAAGTCACCTAGTTCTCTTATTAATTCTTCTATTGGTTGATGATTCTTATATTAATTAGGCCCAAGATCAGTCTTTCTCATCTTTTCTGCTGGCTTTCCAGTTGTTTTTCTGCAGAAGTCACTGAACCAATTAATTATCTCAAAATTGAATTAATAATTGATTATCCAATARCTTTGTATGATTTCATGCAGAGTACCAGAGTGATTGCATCAGAGTCTTAGCTCAACTTTTATTAAAAGCAAGAAAAATATAGACCTCCTAATTTTGGAGAAAAATCTGGAACACAAGTGTCACCAATGTAGGTTATGGAATGTTGGGAGCAGCTCATGAGTCACTGTCTTAAGCATGCCAGTTTTTCCACAGGGATTGCCAGTGGTACAYGTGAGTACACTTAAGGTTCTTTACTCTCCGAAGGCTGTAAAAAATCAAATGCATCACAAGCAAGTAAGTCTGTATTTATGCTAAGCATTTCAAATACAAATACAGCCAGTGTTGTTTTGACTAAAGGATTTCCCCAACTGCTCTTAAAAGAATATGAAAAGGCATTACTCACGTAGCAAGATGCAGAGTTGCAGACACAGGATTGTGAGACTCTCTCAGTAAGCAAACTTGTTTTGCCCTCTGGTCATAATAATGTTGCTTCTGTTATGACTTACCTATTTAAATGCCTTCATCCTTCATGATAACTGAAAAGATGTCTCTTGTGTTCTGGAAGCAATTCTGTTTGCTTCCAAAGCCAGTGAGTACTTTTAAATACAACTGTACTACTATCCCTTTAAAGATACACGTAAGTTTAGTCATCTGGTATTTTTGCTATTGCTTTATCATCTCTTAAATTAAAAATTTTATGCTATTTCTTTTATTAATACACAGTGAATGGTGTAGCTAAGAAGGTACAAACAAAAAGACAACATCCTTCTCAATAAGGCTTAGTATCTAAAAACATGTGTAATGTGCAGCCAGTTGTAACATACTGATGTGAATTCTGTGTTGAGCCCCTTAAAAGAATAAAGAAGTRCAGATAAGTTGAAAATATAAATCACAGTAGAATTATCTATTATTAGGAAAAAAGCTGAGTGGGTTCCAACCATTTAGAATAAATATATTGTATTCTGTCATTGYTTTGTAAAAATTTATTTTCTTTAAATCTCTAATAATTAAGAACTGGARCTGTATGGTGTTTTTCTAGATGAGCTATCTTTTCACTTGTTTTTAAGAGATTGTTTATGTAAAATACTCTTAGAAGCTACTGCATAAAATGTAACTTAAGCATATTCCAATAATAGAAGTTTCAGAACAGTTTCTAGGAATCAACTCAATGGGGTATCACTCCCTGCAGAACAGACAGGTAGTTACTACATTACCAGAAATTTAGGAACCAAGGTTCCCAGTCAGTTTCCCAGAAATCAGATCAGCCTTCCATTACCTAAATGACTTGTTGACCACTTTTCTATGAGTTATTTCCACACGCTAGAAGAAAAGATGCCATANAAAAAAAAAAAAAAAAAAAAAAAAAAAAAAAAAAAAAAAAAAAAAAAAAAAAAAAAAAAGTAGCTGGTCCTTGGGAACTTGACAGGGAATCTACAGGCTCACAAATAACCTCATACCCTTAGTGTACATTATGTACTGAAATAGCTCCTGTCCATGTCCGGTCTGGGAGCTGTGTGATGCTCTTAAGTAGTTCTAGGCAGTCATTTTTAAGGAGGTTGCTGAATGAAAGCTTTTTCCTGACATGTTTCTTTAAAATAAACTGTTAAACTACCATAAAAATGAAAACAAAATAAATTAAGAGTGAAGAGATGTATGTTTCACCTGGTGGCCTGCTTCACTGTTTCTCAGAGCCCCTAGTGTAAGCAGGGTTTTTCTCCTGTCCGTATTCCAATGACTTTAGTCCCCTGATGTCCCCAGCCTAAGCTGGAATCAGACCTTTTTGCAAAGCTGAATGAARATGTGTTCTGTCTCCAAGTTTTCCAGATGGTGTGGGAACAAGGGGAAAATCATGAAACAACCATTCCAAACCCTGGAAAAAATACAGCTTTTATGATTGTTGTCAAGGAGAAATGGATGTACTATTTTCTGTTCCCTAGTCCCAAGTGGGATAACTAAGTCTYTTCCATTGGTCATTCTACAATTTCCTGAGATCACTCCTCCTACCCGTTTTGTCTGGTGGCTGAATCACAGGCAGGGAAGTGGAGTGACATCATATCAGTGTCCAGCAGATGTGTGAATCACTGTTCTTTCACAGCATTCAGTGGTGGTTTCCCAAGCCAGGAAATAATGCTAATGGAAATAACAGTTACTTTTATGAATTCTGTTAGTTGTAAAAAATTACAGTTTATATTAAAAATATATTTGTCATGCAATTCTCTTTTCTATGCTATCAGACAATTTCCAACTAAACTCATAAAGAAAAGGCTGCTATAAACATACTTCTTTCCCCTGCAACATAACACAGTTCAYCAGATTATTTATGTCTCATAATACWCTTGCAAAGTAGAGTTGTTAACCTTTATGTCTTGGCTAAAATCTTGTGTGGGTACTTTCCCTCTCTCTTGAATCCTAAGTATACTTTTCTTCACATCTCCTTGTCTCACATTCAAGAAAACTTTTCAGCAGAGAGCCTTGATTTACATGATTTGTACTCTTCCGTGTCCTTAATTGCTCTGCAATTTTTCTCATTTAACCAGTTGTTTGTGTTCCTCAGAAATCCCCAGCTACATACAACTAGAGAGACTGCTCCTGTGACTTCCCATTTCCTCCAGAAACTAACCAGATAACTACATGATTTTACTTTCTAATTTTGTTTTATTACCATTCCAGACAAACAGAGTATTATTTAATGGACTACGGCTTTGAGYCTGCAGTTATGCTCATTTTATCTCATACAAAAGAGATGTTTCTCACCTCATTATCCTGTTCCACACAGTTAGAGACTAAACCCATTTTCTTGCTCCCTTGCTTCTATTCAGAATGAAAGGTTGCACCATAATTTGCCTTATCTTAGACTTTCCATGTGTATTTTGGTGGAATTAGTCCTTCAATGATAAAACTCTGTGAGTTACTAAAGAGGCCTGATTTTAAAATTTTCTGTACTAAATGATGTGAATTTCATTTTGCATCATTGTACTAATACAAAGGAGAGATGATAAAATAATACATCAACACTAAAGTCTGGAATCATGAATCAGCTACAAAATTTATCATTCTGTTAACCTCCCATTGATTTGCAGGTAAAATTGTCCACTTAAGTTAAAAGGTATGCTATGGCATTTTAGACTTGATGTCCTTCTGATAGGGATAGTGTTAATTTTCTTCCTATTACCAGGTACAATGCTGTGTTTTRGAATTAGGATGAGAATAATGTTGATAACACTCAGTTTTATTTGTTGTTAAGTGGAGCTTTTGCTAATACAAGGACATTTTATCCTGAGATTGGCCATTTTAGCTACTAGTCCTTAACAAAAAAAATTCTCGAAGTGCCAAACAAATTAGGAGTAAATTTTTGTTTAATCTGCAGAAAGCAATTGATTCAACCAAGGTCAGGCATAATCCAAATTCAGTGTTATCTTTTACTTGCCCATTCTACCCAGCAGCTCCCCCTTCAGAGGCTTTTATGAATATGATGACAAAAGTAATATTTAGATATTCTGGAAGGTCTTTCCTCTTCTTTTGCATGTCCTTTTCCATTTTGAGAAGGGTTCACAGGCTGTTACTGCAAGAGATTAAGCTGTGATATGAAATTGAAGATGTGTTACAAGACAAATAGCTCCCCCAGAATATTGAAGGATATTCTCTAGAAACATTATGTAGGTAGAGCTGAGGTTCTAACTGTAAAGTGTTTGGTTTAGGAGCCAATCTTTCAAAAGCAATTCCACTGTGTGAGCACAGAGGAGAAACTAATATAACTTCCAAGGAGGAGRATGGTTGTTTACCTGAAAATCTACATTGGCATCAGGAGAGTGGGCATAGACCCAGTTGAAAATTGTGCTATGGGTACCTGCTGTTACCATTTGCATTGTCTTTAGCTGATCAGAACACAGTGTAGCTCTCCTTTGTAGTATTTAAATTTAACTTTTCTCATGTTCTACTTCGGAATAAATTCCTTCTTATTGCTGTCTTATTTTTTTTTGGAAGGACAAAACCCCCATTCATCTTCTGCCCTCATGTAACTGAAAATATCTCTCAGATTCATAAGATTTTTATGCCTGTAGATTATTTTGCATAATTTAAACAATACGATGAATATTTCAGGTCTCATTTTAAACTGCGTGCAATTTCAGGATACATGGGTTACAGTGA